CTATCTCAAAGTGCCGTCCGAAACGAGCACGAACAGCATCCAAATTCTGGATCAAGTTGCCGTTCTCATTCAGCACAGCAGATGTATGCTTCGAAGTTCTGCCCTTCGCGATTTCCTGCAGCTTGCGGATGCACTTCCAGCGAGTGCGCCCATCATTCTTAGCCTCCTCAGCATCACGCATTACCTCTGATATCCATTTTCTCCTTCGCCATCCGCACAGCCTTTGCCACTGTATGTTGTGCCTGACGAAAGGCTTTCCGAGTATCAACTCTATCATTTGACAACAACGCTTGATGGCAGGTATTCTTGGTATCAATGAGCGGCTCAAGAGTCGAGCTGCTCTCCAAGAATCAGTCTGGTTGAACACGCTTACCAACACCAATGATGTCAGAGGCAGCAGACATAACAGCGTCACGGATGCCAGACCACTCCAGATTTATAGACTCCACTGACTATCTGGGCACTGCAGATTCCCTGGCCAGACGCTCCTGAACACTATCCTGGAGAGCTGTACAAACATCAGTATTCCGCAGATTTCTCACGTCAAAACGCTTCCGGTTGCTGCTACCGCTTGCAAGCCCATTGCGCGGTGGAGCACCGCGACTCGGAGCCAGACTTGCACAGACCATGTAGTGATCAGACTGAAATGACACACCACGCATGACAGAGACATCCTGACAGTGTACGTGCTGATCCTGTCGCATAATGACATAATCAATCAGGTGTGCTTGACGTGTGGCAGGATGAGTCCAGGTTCCACGCTTGCGCAGCTTCTTCCGAAACCAGGTATTCAAAACACATAGTGAGTTTCTCACGCAGAACAACATAGTGTCCCGAAAATCACTAGTTCCGCGTGACCCTACTCTGACGTTGAAATCGCCCAGGAGTACAAAGATGTCGTAACGCTTGACTTTTTAACAACCGCCTGTAGGCATCGATAAAATTTCTCTTTCACGCTGAGTGTCGCTTTGTTGGTGGGTGCATAGATGTTGATAACAGACAAGTACAGATCACGGTGACATCGAGCTCCGCGGGGTAGTTTGTCTCCCTTTGCGTGAAGTAGGATACGAGCCGTGACGATGCGCGAGCTGACGGGTCCAACTGCTCTCCGCCAAGCCGCCGAAATCTCTGGATTCATCCAAATTCCAACACCCTCGTTCCGTCAGGCTGGTTCTCCCTCTGTTGGGATTGGGCGACCAGAATGAACGAAGGTACAATTGCCGATGAGCCACACATCACTGCCGAACCACTTCGTCACTTGAATTCCCGCAACTCCAACACGGAATTTTACGAGTTCCGCCCACAGAAAGCCCAGACCTCTGTCCAGTCGCGACACTGACTTGTTTTTCCTACATATCCTGGCATCACCTGTGTCCTCTACAAGGGACTACACATTCCAGCTCGCCATAAAGAGAGTCTCTCGCTCCTTTCTCGACTTGCGCATCGTCCACAACTATTCGAAAATTGAAAAATTTTCAAACAAGAAACACTGCCTAGTCTCGCTTGCGCTTGTGTACCTACTCCCAGCAGAGCGCAAATCCACTGGGACACGCTGCAGCAACCATGGCCTGGTCTACACCACACAGCCATGGCTGCAAACGCAGAGCCCAGAAAAGTGCAACCGACCTCTACAACTACAACTCTCTCTCACACACACACACACACACACACAAACACACACACACACACACACACAAACACACACAAACACACACACACACACACACAAACACACACACACACAAACACACACACACACAAACACACGCACACACACACAAACACACACACAAACACACACACACACACACAAACACACACACACACAAACACACACACACACACAAACACACACACAGACACAAACACACACACACATACACACACACACAAACACACAAACACACACACACACACACACGCACACACACGCACACACACGCACACACATACACACACACACGCACACACACACACACATACACACACACACACATACACACACACACACACAAACACACACACACACATACACACACACACACAAACACACACACACACACATGTACAACCAAGCACACACCAGTGTTCTCTCAACCGCCACGTATTCATGTCAAGGAGAAGAAATGGCCAAACACCACCATAAGCTACTCATGCCTGCTTACGAATTCACTCGTCACTAAGACTGATATTGGCCTGGGGAAATGCAAACGGCAGCCATCAGTTCCAGGCTCGCTCATTCGATTGGCTGTTAACATGCCCTGTGCTTTTCCATGCACAATGCGCCTCTTGTATGCATCTAGTGCGTATGCAAGCACAAGCTGGAAATCCAAGCCATAGATACTTTCCTTCATGTACCTTAGTCGGCGAGGCGAGTCTTTGAACACATTGCACTTGTTGGCCCAATTTTCCAAAATATATAAATCCATAGCTAATACTACTCAAGGGAACGGTAGTAGACTAATGTTCAATCCAGGACAGGCTGGGTTGTCCACTCTAG